GAGCCGTTGTGAGCCACCTAGAATGTGAGACTGGACCTATCTGCAGGTAAGCAAGTCTTATCAGGCATGACCCCAGTTTTGATGGCACTGCAAATCATGTAACCATAGTACTGGTCAGTACTCAGGTCGTCAATGACAGTATGTGCAAGCTCAACGAGTGGAGGGCCAACTGTGATTTTTTCAAAGCTCGGATTTATTTCTAACTCAGTGGCAGAGTCCAGCATCTTGCCAAGAGGACCAGACCATCTGTTGTTTGAAAGAGTCTTGCCATCCAGCTCCTGGATCAGATGTCTGAGTGGCAACTCGTTGGTGTGGAGGTCACAAACAATCCAGACCAGCTTCCTCCCAATCTTCCGCTCTATCCACTGTATGACCCCCCTTGCCACCCTGTGTTCGTGTTGGTGCTGTCCCCTCCAATGGCCTGCAGGGTCTGGTCTACGTTCCTCTCTCTGAGCCAGTTCACAATGTTATCTGCCACTATCTCAGCTGGTTTCCTGATGTCATCTTTCTCTGGAGTGAAATGCCACAAATACTTCCCTCTTGGTTCACTGCAGCAGGAGTAGTGTTCCTCCTTCACCATGGCAGGGAACAACTTGTCAGAATCTCCAACTTTCATGAACACTTTAGTGTCATCCCTTCTCCCATCAAAGAACAAACAATTGATTCCATTTTCTCTTATCCCCTTATCAAACTCCTCTTCTAGGTTACTGACAAGTTTCTCCTGAGCTCTCCTTACTTTGTTATGATCTATCACCAGGTGAACATCATCAGGTGTTATCAAACCACCGTCAACCCAGGCAGCTGTTGCTATCTCTGCAGTTTCTCTGAGACCAGTGTGGTGTCGCATGCTGGCCAGAGCTATGCTCGGGATATCTTTCCTATTTCGAATCTTATGCCTGGAAGGTTTGGGATCATTATTTTCTGGGTTAGGGACAAAGTCACCATTCTCCTGGTCAGCACTCGGATCAGCCATGGGGAAGTCATTAAACTCTGAATCAGCTTGACTCCAATCATCGGCCTTTTTTACCTCGCCCTGGGCCTTCTCAAGTCTCTTTTCCTCGGCAACTCTTCTCCTCTTCTGTCTCTCTGTGGCAGCCTCCTGTCTCTTGGACTCCGGAATATCTTGGCTAGAAATCATGAGAGCCCCTATACTGCCAGTCTTCTCTCTGTGCTTTGACAAATGCCAGTTCGATCACAGGAATCTTCAGTTCACGCTTGCAAATACAGGGGATGTGGGCCTCGGATTTACAGTCACGATCGCATCCAAACTCAGGACAGAGAACAATTGGGCACTTGCAAGTAATTATGTCAAATAACTGGTCCAGTTGCTTTGTCCAACTGGCTAGCAGTCTCTCACTAATCTTCTTCTGACTTGTTATGACTGGAGGCTTGAACTGAGCGTTAGACAGAGTGTACTGTGCCAAGACAGCTTTGGTCATATCACTGGCAATGTCTTTGTTTGTGTAAGTTCTTTGGTTCTTTTCACTGATTTGCCTGATTAAAACACCGTATCTCAAAGCATCTCTCAATGTAGGCAACTCCGACTTCAGGAGCTCTCTCCCAAACCCAAGATAGTGACTGAGATGGCTGGATTTTTGGTTCCTCGTCCTGACACAAGCAGCCATCGCAAATATTATCAACTTATAAATGCATCAGAATCTGAAACAGAAAAAAATATTGTTAGTTGGTTTGTTAAAGAATGAAGTCAGAAAGCAATGTTCACTATTTAATTGTAATGCACTAATGCAGCTGTACGTTAGATTTTCGATAAATTTCACGCTAAAATTTACCTAGCAAAAGGTTGCAAAATATTGAAACTGAAATTATTTTCTGTTTATATACACTAAAATCTACCAAAAAAGTGATGGGCCATTAGTTTTAGCTGATCTTCCCTCCTATGACACACCCTATTACTATATAGAGGTCTGATGGATTCTTATAGGTGTTTTCAACATACAGTGCAAAGCTTGGACACTTGATCTTGATGATGAGCAGTGAGGCTTTGCGGTTAAGTATGTTGAATGCGTTTGAAGCGTCCACCAGGAGAACGGTCTCACAATCACAATGTTCAAATATCGTTCTAATGGCGTGAATGGTAGCTTCCCCTCCAGCCTGGTGACCAGCACAAACTTGCAGGTTTCCTGCTGCTGCCCTGACATCATCCTTTACCACCTCCATTATGCATTTTCCGATGATCCGCCTCAGCACTTCCCTACCCCTATAGGCCTACATCCAGGGGGATGAGGCGGCAGTCCGTCAGAGCATGGAGGTGTTGGTAGCACGAAGTTGCTAGCTTTCTTGCAAGGGCGGCAATGGCAATGCAGAAATCACTTGCTACGGCGCCAAACTTGTTAGTGCTGAGGATGACTCTCCAACCGTTTGCATCCAGACTTGAATGGGCGGCCCCTCCTTGGGTTTTCAGTGCCTTTTTCACACCATCCCTCCTGTTATTTTCTCGAACAGGACAGCATTTGGTGGGATATAGTCACCCTGGAACCTGATGCATTCGTGTTCACTTGCAGGGGGATGTTTTTCTTTCAGTTGTTTTAATGTCTCTCTGTTTATTGGCAGAACCCCACCGGAGGATTCGTCTGTGAGAGATCTTACCGACAAAGACACTTTTCCCACACGCATTTTTTTTCCAAACTTTCTTGCAACGTCATCGGTGTTTTGCTTTCCCTCTCCAATAAATTTTAGTCTCTCATGCAGTGTTCTTGCTTCAAATAGGAGGTCACCAAGGGCCCCATTCTGCCACATTGTCAATCTTCTCTTCATTGCTGCCGCATTTTCTTTGTGCTTAGTGTTTGAGCGTGTCCTATGACAGAATAGATGTGGTATTATTGCCAGTATTTGAAGAGCTAAAGGGGCAAGGAAGCAGTCCTGAGTGTACTCGGTTATGAGACGAGTCATCTCCCGAATCATTTCTTTGGTGGCCGCACACTTGGGTGGTTCAAACAGGTTAGCTGGCGACCACCTGACAATTTCTGAGTAAGTTTCTTTAACCCATATGTCCGCATTTTCCATCGAAATGCCATTCCACTGGTGGCTGTCCCTATTCACCTCATGGGCATCTGCTACTATTGGAGCAGCGTTTATTTGTACTACATTTTCAGGTTGAGCAGACTCACTGCTATCATTTAGGATATCATCGGGCGGTTGGGTCCCGGCGATATTCACTGTGGCCTCCTGCGTCGGATCCCTGCCATGTGGGTTCCGACAATTGTTTCCCTTTCTGCTAACCACACATGGTCGGTTGTTTCTCACACACTCCTTTGTATGAACCCAAGTAGTTTATTAGCCTTGTTTCGAGCTTGGCTTAAGATTCCTACTTATCATTACTCCTAAATCTTTCTCGCAGTCGGATTTCTCAATAACATCGTTGTTTATCTGGTATCTGGTTTCCCCTTTTACATCTCCTATACTGAGTACTTTACATTTGTCCACATTGAATTTCATCTGCCATTTTTCAGACCATTCGAAAAATTTGTTTAGATCTTCCTGTAGTTTTGCAGAGTCCTCGTCAGATTTAATTACACACTACATTTTAGTGTCATCAGCAAATTTACTTATGTTGCTGTCTCCGCCGATATCTATGTCGTTTATGTATATAATAAATAATAATGGTCCAAGTACTGAGCCTTGGGGAACTCCACTAGTGACGTTGCTCCAATGGGATTTAGTGCCGTTAATACTCACTCGCTGTTTCCTGTCCAGTAACCACGCCCTAATCCATTTTAGAATATCTCCTTTAATGCCGTCAGCCTCCACTTTTCTTATTAGTCTTTCGTGGGGGACTCTGTCGAAGGCTTTGCTAAAGTCGAGATATAACTCATCATAATTGTGTCCCTCGTCCACTGATTCGAAAACAGATGAAAAGGACATTAATAGATTAGTTAGACATGAATGCCCGCATGTGAAGCCATGTTGGGAATTATTGATCAACTTGTGCTTCTCCAGGTGATTTCGGATAGAGTTTGAAATGATTGCTTCCAGTAACTTGCCTACAATTGATGTTAGACTGATTGGACGGTAGTTAGAGGATAGTGATCTATCTCCCTTCTTGAAAATCGGTATTACATTCGCTATCCCCAGGATTCTGGTGCTACACCCGTTTTTAAGGACATGTTAAACAACTTTGCTAAGGGCATACTATGCTCTTCCTTACATTCCTTTAATACTCTGGCAAATATCTCATCGGGACCAGGTGACTTATTAGGCTTTAGTTTGTCTATTTGCTTATTAACATCGTTACTAGACACTACTATCTCGCTTAATTTATATCTTCACTATCTCTGTATAGAGCCGGTGCCTCGGGTCACTGCAGATCTTTGTTGTGTGTGAGCGGGCACAGAAACCACACCACGGTCTCTGAGAAGGGCAGACACGAGCCACATGGGCCCATCGTTGACATGTGTTACATCTTTGGGATGGAGGCTGATAGATGTCTACTTTTAGATAACGGTAAGCTTTTTCGATTTCATATACCGCCATACACACACACACACACACACAGACTACTCCGGCAACAACAACGCTCTCTCCACCTTGGAAATGCCATTCCTCAGTGGCCTCCACCACCACGCACTAGCAAGGTTTGGTAGTGGACTACTGCATCAATTCAATTTCAATTGTTTATTCCTTGATAGAGGAAGCGGGATCCTAGCGTTGTCACTAGGTACCCATGTCTACTGCATCATCCTTGTCATCGCCACCAACTACCACCTGCAGTATCCCGCCCACCTCGCGCAGTCCGCCACTACAAAAAATTTAGCCCATAAGAGCCCGCACTGATAGATATAGGAATAGCACCATCCCATCTATTGTTAAATTAATAAATAGCTCCTGATTTATGTACTGGACAGCCATGTATTGAACGTATATTATTATGTCTAAATCACATGTAAGTTTGTTAATTTTCAGCCACCGGCTCCAATTCTATTAATAAACCGTTTATTAATATTAGTAGTAGTATTACACACACACACACGCACACACAGTACCTGTCAGCCAGGTATCCTGCCAGCAGGGGACTGATGAAGGTGCCCAGCATGTAAATGCTCTGGTAGGTGGCTCTCAGGTGCCCTCGTCCACACACCAGCGAGAACTGTAGGTGGAAGGTGAAGTTGATGTGTTTGTGTATTAGTGGAGGTGATTGTTTAATCAATTGATTTGTACAACTGGTGTCTTGACAGTTTAAGTAACGTGACGTCGTATCTCCTTAATATAAGATCTTTCTACATAGAAATAATGTAACATGAAACTATACTTAAATTATAATAAAAATTACCTGTTATATATTCTGGAGGAGGCCAGCCTCCTCGATAGAATAATAACACAAACATGCTGTAGATATTAAACATCTGCTCTAAGTACAAAAAAAAAAATAATGGGACCAAGCGGACATCACATACTGGCTGGTGTTCTCTGGTGTCCAGGGGGGCATGTGTAAGTCTAGAGTGGCCAATGCGATGCCTGACCAAGGCATTCTCCCACCTCGGTGGCAATCGGGAGTCGAGGGGTGTATCTCCGTTGTATTATCCCAGAGCTTGTTTGGGCCAGCAGTGGCATCTCAACAGTGCTTCCATACAGTACATATGACAGTAAAGTCAATAAACAGTGCGGTATCTTGTATCACACTCGACAGTCACTCACTGTTATAGCAATGAAAGAAATCTATTGTAATCTAGTTTATCAACACCTGATACACTGTCACACACTATAGGGGGCATCTGGCTCTTCAAAAACACAACCCCTGATTGTTGCACAAAAGAGAGTAGTGCGGACAATGACCTACTTGAAAAAAAAACTGATCACACAAACGAACAATTTGCTAAATTGAAAATGTTAAATTCGAGAATATTAAAACCTACAACTTAAAGCACCTAGAGCTACTAATACCACCCACCCCCCCATGCGCTCCCCTCAGTCCCAGACCTTCATAAAATGTCATGGTATGAAGGTGTGGAACAACTTACGCCCATCCAGGCATCCGAGCAAAGACTAGACTCCCTTCCTTAAAATCATCTCTGCCAACTAGACATTTGCCAACTAGACATAATCGTGACAGCTATGTCCTCTTGTTCCACCTTAATGCAACCCATGTTGTACTGCTTCTCTCCCTTATCATATTTATGTTTTTAAATTCCACTGTTAATTATGTATATACTTATAATATAAATGTAAAAAATAATAAAATAAAATAAAATAAAATAAAATAAAATAAATGAATATCGAAGAGATAACCGTGGTAACATTCTGATATGTTCTTATTACCACCAGGCTATGTGTACTATTCCAGATGATACTAAATGTTACATAACACTTCCTTGAGATAAATGTACAGTATACAGTATATCAGGTGCCTGCAAGAGAGCTCAGGTTCTCAACTGGCTCAGCCATGTTAATATTATGATTTTTAAATTGACTCTATCTGTGTTCTTCTGGCTAAATAAACTGTTTCAATATGAATATTCATATAAATTTTATTCCCAGAATGTACATCCCGATCTGAGAGTGGTTGACGCACAGGGGCTGGGCTGTACGCAGCGGTACTATTTGCCTTCTCATTGACCAACACATTTACACGTGCAGGTATCCAGAAGAAGCTGACCTGATTGCCACGTTGTTCTCTATTATTTTCTATAAGGAGCCACTGCAATGCTTCAAGAACCAGAGGGTGGAGTGGGTTAAAACATTATAGAGCTTGAATCACTAAAATTAATAGAATTCTTGTCCTCAAGGTTGATAATGACTTTCCAAACCAGGAGAATCGCTGACAACTCATTAGTAAACAAAAGAAGTAGGTAAAACAATTATAGGTAAAAACTGGACAAGTGGAGGCGACACTCAACATGGAGCGGAGAGTGGTAGTGTCACTACTGAAGGGTGGCGTAGCGCAGTGTGTGTGGCCTCCACTCATCATGTGTTTCGTTTTAGTCAAGTCAAACTATCGTCAAACCTCACGCGGTTTGCAATATTAATTTATCTGGTGTTTTTAGTTTCTAATATAACCCCAAAAGACAAGGATAAAGCTCACCAAAATCCAATTGGTGGAACTTTGTAATTTTCAGCAATAATCATATATGAAGTATCAAGTCACTTTAGGTAACATTTTTGTGTACAACTATTTGTAAGTGCTCAAACCATGCTAGTGTCATACATTATTGGAAAACAATATTTTCTTTTTCTGGTGATCTAATAACGAGTATATTTTTTTCTACTAATGGCGTCGTCTATGCTTTTAATCTAGATTTTAAATAATTCATAATTTTTTCGAACCATAATTTTATAAAGATGTAAACGTTAATATTAATGGGATCCTTATTGACGACTTCTTAATGCAGAATTTATATTTACCAAGTTGATAATTATACAGCAATAAGAATGTATCATCCCCGTCTATATTCAAACAGATTCGCTGCCAAAACGCGACTCAGTGTCTCCCTCCACCTCGACCACAGAGTGCGAGGGGCCACCTGGTCGCACGAGGCAAGCGAGGTCATCCGACACCTGCAAGCAGAAACACTCGTCAAAAACAACCAAGACATACGAGACAATGGTTACGTAGTTCCTCCACCATGGAGCCCTCCACCAGCCAGATTCAAAAATACTGAACTAGGTGATAGCAAAGCCAACTTCCAGAAGGAGGACCTCAAAAGAATAACTCTGGAAGCCATAGCCACAGAGACACCAGCTGATGCAGCATCATACTTCACAGATGACTCGGTGGACCCAAAACATCATACATCCGGAGCGGCCTTCTACACCCAAGGTCAGACCCTCCTATGGAGACTTTCTAATGACTGCTCCACCCTACAAACAGAGCTGGTAGCAATCTCAAAGGCCCTACAACACGCTGCAACACAACACAACAAGTCAATCATAATTCACACGGACTCGAAAACGGCCGTGCAGGCGCTGCAACACAGTCAACCAAGAGACAACGCCCACATCATAACCTCGATCCTCGCACAACTACAGGACTTTCAAAGAAAAAACCGCCGAGTCGTCTTACACTGGATTCCCAGTCATGTAGGGATCGGGAGAAACGACGTGGCAGACGAAGCAGCGAAGGCAGCCACACGTTCTAGAAGCGTACACATTCAAGTTCCAGCAAGCGTGCAACAGATCAAGAATCACCTCAGAAAGACTACCAAGCTCCACATCCAAAAGAGCTTCCTTCACGCATTCAACGCTGGTTCCCAATCAGCCAAATGGTACCTGGCGGCTACAAAAGGGGAACCACCTTTTGCGGACAAGAAAACACCAAGACAAACCCAAGTTAGCCTTCATCGACTACGACTAGGGTACAAGTGCTCCTGGCAGACGATCGGAAATGTCGTCATGGAATGCACCTACTGTCAGGAGCCAGCAGCCAACCCACTTGAACACTATCTCCTCGACTGCAAAGTCACACAAAGCCTCCGAAACAGAATTCGAAACTTCCAAGAAGAACACACAACACCAGCGGCCACTCTAACCCGAAAGGCCCAAACAAACCACATTCACCACCTTCTCCGGGTCATCACACGATACCCCCACCCAGATAGCTTAGGAAGTATCCTCCCCCAGCAAGTGCAGACCCCAGTTCGGGGGACGCGCCACTCCGAAACTGACCACGTCCAAGAGTGAGGGTTGGTGGTAAGCGTCCACTGATCGGGGGTCCGCTCACACTTGCAACCTGCAGTATCCTTTCATATCTGCAGGTAGGACAACCTCCAATCCCTAATCCGATCTGGCTGCTCCAGGAGCTCCAGCCAGAACCACCAAACGGGCCGCCTTTAGGCAAAGGCCCGTGTCGGACTACCTGTCCGTCAATCTCAACAACAACTAACAGGTGTTATGTATTAAATTGGCATGGGGTTGGTTGCAACAATATTGGCACAATGACTGGCAAGGCAACCTCAGTTCGGCTCCTCACTTAGTCTAATGCCCGTGGCCCACTTTTAGAGCGCATTAGAGCCTGAGGGGGAGGGGGTGCGTCCTCATATCTGAAGGCTGGCGACCACAGTCCTCCACTCTAAACGTTCTCGGGTTGTTTTAACCAATCTTCCAAGGTTTTGTATCTCTCTGGGGACCCAGTTTTTAATTTCATTCACCCATCATAGTCTCTGTCTTCCCCCTGGCCCTCCTACCCTCAACTTTGAACATTAATATTTCTATTAATATTCACTCCTCCTTAATTATATGACCAAAGTAGCTCAAGTTTCTCGCTTTTCTTGTTCTGTACATTTCAAGTATTGCTCTTAAAGTTTTTTGCTAATCTTAGTACTTCTTCATTTGTGTTCCAGTCAGTGTAGCTTATTCTTAGCATTCACCTATAACACCACATTTCAAAGGCTTCCATCCTCTCTCTGGTATCTTCTGAAAGTGTCCACGCATCTGACCCATACGTCAGTCCTTGCCATTTAAAACCTTTCAGCAGCCTTTTTTTTTAAATTGAAGTTAGTGTCTCTTCTCACTCAGTCATTAGATTATTAAATCCTGTTTTTGTTTTGCCCTATTCTTACTTTGATATCTTCCGTACCTCTACTATCACAGCTAATGTTACTCCCAAATACACTTTGCGACCAGGCAAAGTGGAGTGACCTGATTAAGGGACTTAGTGCAATGACCTCGATTGAATGAGCAGTACTGCTGATCGAGGCGAGGGCTCGAGTGGAATGGCCCGATCGAAGGATCCAGTGGCCGAGAGAGACAAGCCAGTTACACAATGCCAGCTAATTGTGCAGTGTTTGGATGCAATTCTTTGTTCAAACGAGAGGGACATATACACTTCCTACATTTCCTAAAGATGGAGAACTAAGATACAAGTACTGTATAGTAAACTCTGTAAGAGAAAATGCATCAGTACTGCTAATGCTCGGATATGCAGCATTTTGAACCAACTGCTTATGAGAGAAACTACAAGTGTCAATGACTTGGACTACCAGTACCAAAATCACAACTAAAATTCAAAGTTATGTCGATCAAACCCCTTCTTTGGTGCTTACAACTAGCAATAGTGAACACTTTGTAGTACTGTAATATTTTTGTCTTGTATTTTTAAGAGTATGATTTAATATACCTGGAATACATCAGTCCGAAACAGTAAATTATTGTTGG